CTCTTCCGCCGCGCCTGGGGCCGTCGGGATCCCGCTGGTCTGCAGGCGGTCCGTGCGCCCTGTGCTCCAGGGAGGGCGCGGCGCGGAGAAGGCCACTGGGACCTCCCAGGCGCATCCCCTCCCCGGGAAGGGACAGTCACAGTTCCCTGAGTGAATCACTTCCACCCCCTTCCCGGAATGCAGCAGTCCACGTGGGGCGGAGGGCCGGGTGTGCTGGTCCCGTGGACCGAGGGGAGAGGATGAGGAAGACCACAGGGAGGAAGCCCGGGAGAGCTCTGTGAGTCCCCGTCGCAGATGGCGTCCATTCTAACCTGAATCAGCGTCCATTCTAACCTGGCTCAATCTAATGGCCTTAACTAGCCTGGGACTGGGGCCAGGCGGAGCCACTACTGTCATCTTTTTTTTTTTTCTACCCGATGACCTGTCTGACCCGGGCTAAGAATAAAGGCATTTCTCCCTTCTTCATAGCCCCTCCCTAACTCCCCACAGTGATCTCCAGGTGGTTACCAGGCCAGAGGCACTGGAAAAGCAGCTGTCCTCAAAGCTGGAGGTCACTGTGGGGTCAGACGCATTCTCCAGGCAGGGCCCTGGCTCCAGGCTGTTAAGGAACTGCTAAGCTCTGCCTTCACATATGGAATATACATGCAAATTAAATGGTATTCACAGTGAGTCTAGAGCTATCATCTGGCCTTGTTTTTGCCCAGCGCGGAATAGCTCCTGTACACCTGGCCACTCCCCACTCCAATGATCAGGACGGTCTTGGATACCTTACCAATGAGAAGGGGTTGAGCCCTCAGGGAGTGACCTTCAGGAAATCCTGGGGAGAGGAGGGCTTCCACTGTGAGCTGTTCACACCCCAAGTGCTGAGTCAGCTTCTGCTATGTTGCTAGAGGTGGAGCCTGGCACAAGCTGCAGGTTGGAGCTGCCGGGACCTAGTCCGTGCACGGGTGCCCCCCTTTCTTCCCAAGAATCACTTGGGTATTCCCTTCTAGGGTATCTGGCAGCCCGTGCAGCACAGCATAGCCTGGTGGTGTGGACGTGCAGGTCTGCGGGTGTCCTACCTGTCCCCCACATGGGAGCCTCGTCATCTCGCCTTCGTGTCCCAGCCCAGTTTCCCCCGCACCCCCCCTCCAGGGCCGGGAGCTGCTTTCCTGTTTCATTTTGGGCAGGAAGAGTGAGGTCGTGTTGTTCTTCCCCCTGCTGCCGGCTCAGGCTGTGGGAACGCTTCCCTGAATGCTTTCCTGTCTGATACCCTGTGTGTGCAGCGGAGGGGACGGGGACGGAGCGAGCGGCAAGGCGGGAGTGTGTGTACTCCTGCCTCTGAGATCTGCAGCCAAGGCCAGCGTGGGCAGGCTGTGCATGTGTCAGGGAGGGAGAAAAAGGGAGGAAGGGGCTCTCCATCCAGTGAGGAGGGGGCACCTTGTGCATCTGTGTTGTGCTGTGAACAGGCTGAGAGCTGGTAGCATCTGCTTAGCTTTTGGTCAGTGGTTCTTTTTTTCACTATTTTCTCTCCATGGGGTATGTTTGTGCCTGTAGGGAAGACTGTGGCAACCTAGGGACTCTCCTGCCCCTTAGAGGAGGTAGACATGAACGTGAATCAGAGCCTGGGTACTGCTTTAGTGCCCCAGTCAGGGAAACCTGGGTGCAGAGGAGGCACTGCCCCCCACGGACTTCAGTAAGCTCCGGCCGCTGGGCAGACGAAGCGCTCCGACTCAGCTCGCTTGTCCAGTTAAAAGGACAGTGAGCCTCAGGCAACCCCTCTCTCTGTCTCCCAGAGACCCAGGCTGTGCTGGAGCTGCAAAGGAACAGAGCACCAGTCCATGTAAAACCCAGGAGGAGGGGGGCCCAGGTGTCATCATGGTTCAGAGATCCCATTCTCTGAAGAGAGATGGTTGCTTCTTTTTAATTTGCTATAGTGTGTGTGTGCTTGCCAGAGAAAGAGAGGGAAAGTGAGAAAGCACTTCCAGGATGGATGGTCATGCATAATCCCTTCTCCTCCAGTTTCCTCTTGGGAGTTGGGGCAAGCGCACACAGGTGTGTGGTGTGTTTTTCAAGCCACTGGGTCTGGACCTCAAACCTGCAGTCGGCCATGTGAGAACCTACCACCTTAACCACCACACAGCCTGGCTGGCCTGAGAATCCTTTTGAAAAAGAGAAACCAAGCAGGAAGGACTACAGAGTCCCACAAGCTTTTTTGGCTTTGAGGAGAGAAAGGGAGCATAGATTCGGGTCGTGGGGGATATCCCCAAAGGAATGGTGGCGCTTAATGGAGGAAAGGGGGCCTGGCCATGAGCCCTAAGCAGCAGACAAGGAAGCCCGGCCTCAGCTCAGGACTGAAAAGGTGGGGCCGGGACTGGAAGGGACAAGGCCTGGGGTACAATATGGCAAACCCCCGTGTGTGCATGGGTTCCAAGGGTTCCAGGAGGGTACCTGGCAGCCATATGAGAAGGTGGTTTCGAATTCTGTGGGTGAGAAGGTAGGGAGAAGATGCCCACTCGGCTATCACAAAGACAGGACCCAAGAAGTAATAAACTCCTGTACACATCTGTTCCATATTATAAATACACATTATATACAAAATAATGTTATAAAATGTAGAAAGGTCAGTGCTTCTGATTCTTAAATTATCGAAATACTAGACTCCAAAATAAACTACCAAAAAAAATAAAAACTCATATTATTGATTTCTGAAGATCAGCTTCGAGGGTGGTCCGGGGCAGTGGTGGGCATGGGCAGAGAGCCCAGGCGTGAGGTCGTAGGGACAGGGCTGAGGAGGAAAGGCCCAGGCGGCATCAGCACCCAATTTCCCCCTCGCTGGACTCTCCAACACGACTGCCCGAGTTCCCCAGGTCGGCCTGGCACCCCCACTGGCAGAAGCGGCAGGCCCTCGCCTATCCGCTCACAGAAGCCCAGAGGCACCCAGGGCCAGAGGGTGGTGGGAGCCAGGTAAGGCTTAACGACATTCTTGCCCAGACGGCCTAGGTCAGGGAAAGGCTGGCGGTGTCCCAAGAAGGCCCACGTGCGGTGGTTAGAGGCACCGGGCAGAAAGTGCTCCTCTCCCTGCAAGGGCTCACCTCACCTGCAGGGCAACTCCTGCCAAGAGCCACACCCAGTGGTTTTCCAGCCCACGGGAGGCCCTGCCCTTACTGGTCCTCTCTCTCCTTTCAGATTTGGGCCCAGCTGTCATCATGGAACCTGGGCCAAAGGCACTTTTGGAAACGCAGATGCCAGCGGAGGCCACAGCAGCTCCAGACCCCAAGGGGTTGCTGCCACTCTTTCTGAAGGCCACTACTGGCAGGGCGGGCCCAAGCGGCACCTCTCCTCGCCTCTGTCCCCTAGCTGGTGCGGCTGCCAATCTGATGCCAGACGGACACCCAAAGGTGTAGAAGGGTATTGCATCTCTTGGCAAGTTCACAGTCTATCCAGTTCATGCGATTCCCTCCTCCTCCTCCTGAGAGCAGCACGTTGCATATTTAAAACGTCCCATCCAGGATGCAATGTAAACGATGCGGAAGGAAGTCCAGCTGCAGCCGAAGCTGGGATGTCCTGGCAGGCTCCTGCCTTATACCTGGGAGCACGTGGAAAGGGGGAAATGGGTTACCCTGGGCCCTGGCTCTCCCTCTACGGCTGCCCTGGAGAAACCAACAGGGCAGGCAGGGGTGAGGCAAAGTGGGGGGGCAGTCTTCCCTGCCTTCCCCCCAAAACACACACGTGCCTGGAGCTTCTGCCCATGAGAGAGCCCAATGCAGAAGCCATGAGAAGGGGCAGGAGGGTCACAGCAAGCCCCTCACCCACCAGCGTCTGGGAAGCAGTGCCTGGGAGCTGGCCGGGCGCCACGCTTGCCCAGCCCAGCACCAAGGGCAGGAAGAGGCTCGGGCAGGCTCAGCACAGCTCTTGTTTCACACCCTCCACACAAGGCCAGCAGGGACCCGAGCCGCTGAACCTGGCCTGCCAAAGAGGGGCCCCAACCCATCCTTTAGGAGTGGCCCATGTGGTCAAGAGTGACCAGGTCACTTTCCCACCCACAAAAGGCAGGCGGGGACATTGTGGAGGGGATGGCGTGCCTAGCACTCACCTCCGTGGCAATGACACATTCATTCCTCTCTTCTGATATCAAACACACAGACTGGTACATGGAGTCCCTGGGGGAGCAGATCGCTGATATCCGACACTCTGGCTTTTCACTGAGGGAACACAAGACAGGTGCGTGAGGGGGGGCTGTGGAGCGCTCGGGGGGAGGCTGGGCGCTAATATGGACCCTGGAGAGTCACCGGGGTGACTATGGGAAGGCGCTGGGCTGGAGGTACCCGGTGCTGGCCAGTGGGGTTGGGGGCCAGTTAGGAACAGGCCCCTAAGAAAGCCAAAGCCTTACCAAAAGGGTCTCAGGCCTAGAGAAGGCCAGCACTGCCACTAGAGGGAAGTCACACAGAGAGACAGAAATCCCAAGAGACACTGTGGGCCCTTGACATTTGCGAATGACGGATGAATGAAAGAGAGAGAGGACAAAGGACCCTTGCCAGAAAGCTTGTTGGAAGATCTTCCTGTCAGTAACAACAACAAAAAACACCCTGTGTGTGGGCCAGCAAGTGGCACAGAGGTTAAGGCAGCCAGTCCCCACATAGCGGACTCTGTGGTTCGAGTCTCGGACTTAGCAGCTTGAACACCATACTGGGTACATGTGCATGTGTGCCCAAAATCTCGAGTGAATGGAAGAGAATGGATTGTGACACCCTGGGTGGGGATGATTTTTCCTGTTCCCTCTCTCTGTCTCTTCTCTGGTGAGTGCACACACCCTATAGCAAAAACAAACATACAAAACCGAAAAACCCTGTTTGTTTAAAAGCAGTCAAGGGCCTGGTGCCCTCTTCCCACCCAGCCCAAGGAGCCCGGGCAGAACCACACAGAGTGCCAAGCAGGTCCTGGACATCCGGGCCACTCACCTGTGTAGCCGCAGTGGCGCCTTCTCCCCTAAACTCTTGTCACTGTGGGGATACTTCCCTGGCATGATCCCCCGCCCCAGGAGCCCTGGGGCCAGATTATAGTCCACCGTGTGGTTCTGCTGTTTGCCACAGTTGGACTTGTCCAGGCCACAGTCCACTTCCAGCTCCTTCTTCTGGTTTGTGTTCCTGAGCTGGGCAGCAGGGATCAGGTTGTCCTTCTGGAAGTCCGACAAGTTGTTCATGGCCTCCCTGCTGCCGTCGTCTGGCCGCCGAAGCCGCAGCCACCGCACAGCCACCGCCACCATGCCCAGCAGCACCAGCACCACCACCAGCCCTACGCCCAGGGAGACGGCCACCCAGGGGAAGCTGGGCGGCAGGCCCGTGGAGAACTCGCAGCGGCTGCCCACAAAGCCATAGGGGCAGTTGCAGACGAAGTTGTCCGGGGAGAGGCCGGGGTAGCAGGTGGCCCCATTGAAGCAGGGCCCCGAGGCACAGGCGTCGCTGGGTATCCGCACCTCGCAGCGCCGGCCAGAAAAGCCGGCAGGGCACGTGCACACGAGCCCATTCTCCAGGTCATGGCAAGTGCCACCGTGGGCACAAGGGCTGCGGGCGCAGTCGCTGACGTGGACTTCGCAGTGGGTGCCCGTGAATCCAGGGCGGCAGCGGCACGTGCGACTGGGACCTCGGTTCAGGCACTGGCCACCTGTGAGCACACATGGGGCACCCGTCAGCAAGGGCCAGGGAACCCGCCGGTGTCAGGGTCAGCGCCCCATCCCAGGAAGGAGCCTGGCCTTTGCCTCCCTGCCAGCCTTGACAGAGCCTGTGGCAGAGACTGTGCAGAGTCAGAGACGGGGGTCCGGAGAGTCAGATCTGTGTAGGTCTGCATCTCCGCGCTCTCTCTAGCTTGGGATCTGGCACCTGTTGCTTAACCGCATCCTGGAGCCTCAGTTTCCTCACTTGTTAAATTAGAGCAGGATGCTGCCATGTCAGGGATAGCTCCGAGGGTTAGGCAGGAAGGTACGTGAAGGCAGGAGCACTTGCTCGGTACCCAGTAAAGGCCCAAATAAACGAACGGCCATTGTTTCATCTCCCCTTCACAACCACGTGTTTTCCCATCGGTGACAGGGGAGTGAATGAGACAGCAAACTCCACCGTGGCCTGTCCAACCCCTCCAGCTCCTGAGCTTCTCTCTACATGGTGCTGCCTGCCTGCCTCACAGAGTCACCCGGAGGCCAGGTCGACAAGGATCTCCAACTTGCTTTGTGCCCCCAAGGGTGCTGAACATTCTAGATGCCTTGTGTCTCACTACACTCTATGTGGACATGGGACTCCAGGAGCAGGGTTCTGACTGCATCGCCAGCCTCCCTCGAGGCACACAGAGCCTCGAGCACCCCGCTGTCTAGCTCAGGCCTTCCTGGGCCAAGTGAGAGACACCTTGGCCAGTCTGACCTGGGTAGGAATGGAAGCCTGCAGCGTCCAACCCTCCCCCAAGGCCTGTATCCACTGCTAACCTCTCTTGCAGAGCCCCGGCTGATCCAGCAAGGCTTCACCCTCCAGAGCAGCTGGGGACCCATTCAGACTGCCCAGGGTGGCAGATGAGGCCTTTCCCCGCTCCTGACCCTCCCTCACCTGAAGGCTCTCTCAGCCCCAGGGATGGCCCACCAGGTTAGCAAGGCAGCAGAACGCACCATTGGCACACGGGTTACTGGTGCACCTGTCCACTTTCTTCTCGCAGTTGGAACCAGTGAAGTTGGGGGGGCATTCGCAGGAATAGCTGGCTCCCTGGTTCCGCTCGTGGCAGGAGCCCCCGTTGAAGCAGGGAGAGTCAGCACAGCTCAGGGTACTGTGTTCACAGTGCAAGCCGTAGTAGCCCGGGGGACAGAGGCAGAGGTAGCCATCCTCCTGGTCCTGGAGAAAGACCATGAAGGGGCTAAAGTCAGACCCTGGAGGACAGGGATGGCTTGTGGCAGGCTCCACCTGCCCACAGGGGCTGTCTGTGGCTGCCTAGGCTGGGGATGCCTGGACACCGCCTGAGATACCCCTGCCTTCCTGTGTCAGCCTGGTCTCACCTTGCAGCTGCCTCCGTTGCGGCAGGGGTTGCTGTCACACTCGCTGAGTTCCAGCTCACAGTCCACGCCAGTGTAGCCTGGGCGACAGGTGCAAGTGTAGCTCCGCTGCCCGCTGTTGGAGCACGTTGCTCCGTTCTTGCACGGGGAGTGGTGGGTGCAGTAGTTGAGATCTGTGGAGACAGGAACCAACCAGCTGAGCAGGGCCAGGGAATGCACCGGCCTCCAGGCTCCTCCCAGTGCAGGTTCACCACTATGTTCAACCCAGTGTTCAACTCAAAGTTGTCCAGGCCCACATATCCTTCCTTCTCAGCTAATGAAATCAGGCTTAAAAAAAAAAAAAAGTTGGCGCCAGCAAGTAGCATGGTAGTTAAGGTGCTGAACTCCCACATGGCAGTCTGCAGTTTGAGTCCCAGACCTGGCGGCTTGCTTTCTCACTTTCTGTCTCTATCTCTCTCTAGTGAGCACATGTGCCCTATAGCAAATTAGAAAATAGGGGCCACCTGCTGGCCCCAATAAAATATTTTTTTAAAAAAAGAATATAATAATAAATTAAATTAAATAATTCTAAAAAACAAAAGTCTTGGTTAGAGGGCATATGCACTTGCTAGAGACAGAGACAGAGAGAAATCATTCCCTGGGGGATGAACATACTGCAATCCCTTCTCCTTTCTCCTGTTTGGATTTTGGGCTCACATGCACATGTGCCCAGTGTGTTTTTTCACAGCATGCCGTAGCAGGCCACTGGGTCTAGGACTCCAGCTACTCTTTCGGCCATGTGGGATCCAGCTGCCTTAAACACCACACTGCCAGCTGGCCTAAAATCAGGTACATTGAAGCACCCTGTCAATCAAGACTGAAAACACAACCAGACAACATCCTGCCAGTTAAGCTCAACACAACCACTGCCGGCCAGAGTAGGCGCTGAAGCTAAGTTGAGGAGGGGACGGCAAGGCCACGTGTCAGAGAGGAAGGTGGAAAAGGCTTCATGGGGTGTGGGGGCAGCTGCGATAAACCTCGAAGGAGAGAGGACATTTCAACATGTGGAAATGGCAGAGGCAGGATGAGAACCACCATAGGTAGTGACTGGGCACTTTTTTTATGGGAGGAGGCATTACAAGAGTATTTTGAAATGTAAGTATTTGTTTTCTTATTTGGGAAGGACAGGGAGGGGGAAGCAGACAGAGCAAATATAGAACTGCAAGGGCTGTGTTTGCATATGATGAATACATGGCTGTGTCACCTGGAAGCAGGAAAGAGAATGAGCAGAAACCAGGTGTGTGTGTGCCGGGGGAGGGGGTGTGTAGACACACACACACACACACACACACACAATACTGAAGCTGAATTCCTGCCCCTTGTCAGCAAGTCAGGGACTAAGCAAGATCTTTCCATCCTGCAAGTCCTCTGCCCACTCCAGCCACACCTGAGCTGGGGTCTCCATGGCAGCAGGTGCACCATTTGACCCTGAAAATGGGAGGTCCAGGCTGCAGCTGGCTACCAGGCTGCAGAAGAAAAGGTTCCCTCCCCAATGGTTGGAGCTTGAAGACCCCTGTGTCACCAGCAGAATGACTACCTCCTCCCCTGGAACAGCAGGTAGAGACAGAGTGAGTTCAGGCAGCTGCCTGGCAGGTGCAACTGGGGAAAAGCAGGGGAGGTGAAGTCGGTTAGGTGCCACTCTGCTCAGAGGCCCAGCCTACCCATAGCCTCGGGAAAGCCGGTGGGCACACCCCACCAGACAGCTGTGTAGGGGAGGGCTGCTCAAACAGCCTGGAAGGTGAGCAAACATTTGGGGGTTAATAGGTAACTACAAGGTAGAAGGAGGAACTGAGCCTGGCATTTCTCTCTTTGGCCTTGGTAGAATTTATGAGTACGACCTCAACTTCCAGGCTGCCAATCTGTCACCTTTCTGGCTCCAGGAGCCACGCTGGCTCCCCAGAACCTGGAGAAGGACCCACCATCTCATCCTAGGCCTGATCCTTAAAAGTCCCAGGATTGGATCGGCAGGTGGTATGGTGGTTGAGGGTGCTGGACACCTACATGGCCGACTGTGGTTTGAGTCCTGGACCTGGCGGTTCGCTTTCTCTTCTCCCCCCCAGCCCCGACTCTATCCCTCTCTGGCAGCAGTTAGCTGTCGACCACGGTTTGCGTCCCAGACCCGGCAGCTTAAACTCACGCCCGGCACATGTGCGTGCGTGCCCAAGATCCCAAGAGGAGAATGGAGGAGAAGGGATTGCAGCGTGGCCATCCCCTCTGGGGGGTGATTTCTCGCTTTCTATCTCTCTCTCTCTGTCTTTCTGGCGAGCGCACGCGCCCTATAGTGAAAACCTCTCAAAAAAAAAAAAAAAAGTGCCAGGCTCTTCAGAGGGTAACAGGAAAAGCCTAGTCAGCAGTCACCCAGTGAGAGGACACCTGTCTGGCCCATCTCCCCCACAGTCCCGTCTTCTCCCAACCCTGACTCACCTTGGGCACAGAACAGGCCTCCCCAGCCCTCGACACAGGGACACTGCCAGGGGGTGCTACAGGTGCCATGGCGACAGCCATTGTGGGGGATACACTCTTCAGAGGGTAACAGGAAAAGCCTAGTCAGCAGTCACCCAGTGAGAGGACACCTGTCTGGCCCATCTCCCCCACAGTCCCGTCTTCTCCCAACCCTGACTCACCTTGGGCACAGAACAGGCCTCCCCAGCCCTCGACACAGGGACACTGCCAGGGGGTGCTACAGGTGCCATGGCGACAGCCATTGTGGGGGATACACTCGTTGCACAGGCGGCCTTGCCAGCCTGGACGGCAGCTGTGGGACACAAGAGAGGCTGAGAGTGAGGTGAGAGGCCTGCCAGGGGTGGGCTCTCCCCTTACCACTTCCTGTCCCCTACTCACAGGCACTCTGCTGGCTTGCTGCAGTAGCCATTCTGTTCATGACAGCCAGACAGACAGATAGCTAAGGAAAGAAAACAGCTGCATGAGGTGGGAAGGTCGAGGACTCTGAAGCCCCACTCTCCCATCCTGGCGCTGGAGGCACCCCAGCTCTCCTGGGTTCCCTTCCCACTCCTGGCCTCCCACAGGAGCCATGGGTGTCTTAAAGGGAGACGGAGGCACAGGGAAGGAGCATCCCAGGTAGATGGGATGCAGTGATGGGGGCCCCATGAGCAGAGAGAGAGAAGGTCTGAGTCCAAGTCGACGCTCAGCGTCCTCGGGCACCCCTGAAGCCTAGCAGTGGGCTCCCCACACCCCCTCTGAGTGAGGGAGACAGGCCACGATGGAAAGGACTCCAGCCTGTTTGCACAGACCCTCCCACCACGCAGGAGAGCCACGCAGGTGGGAACCCAGCTGCTTACGCTGCTCGCAGTACTCCCCAGTCCAGCCTGGCAGGCAGGACAGGCTGCCATCTGGCTGACACACGTAGTGGCCGAAGTGGTCATTGCGCTTCTTGCACAGGCGTGAGCAGCTGTCCCCATAGTAGTTGTCACTGCAGATGACCCGGTAAGAGTAGCGCAGCCGTGTGAGGGTGCTGGTTTGCTCGTCCAGTAACCAGTTCTGGCCCACGGCTAGGGAGCCCTGGATGGCGATCTTGCTGATGAGCGCGTCCGCTGGCAAGGCCTCTGCAGGCAGAGGGGCAGGTCAGGAAGGTGCAGCCTGTGCTGGGGTGTCAGGGCCTGCAGGCCACTGCCCTGCTGGCTGTGATGAAGGTGACCAGCCAATAAATCATTCCGTTGTCCAGATGAACCTCCCTCCATGCCAGCAAGCACAGACCAGAGGGACCCAAAAGTCCCACTGCTTAGCTGCCCTGTGTGTGTGCAGGGGGCCTGATGTCAGTGGGGTCTCTGTGAACCCAAGTTTCTCCTTCTCTCCTCACCACGTTTCAATAGTGAAGGGTGAGGAAAAGAGGTCAAAATGGAAAAAGAGAGAGAGAGAGAGAAAGAGAGAGAGAGAGAAGAGAGAGAGAGGAAAAAGTTAAGTTCTTCAGTCTGGGGAGCACCAGGGAGCAGGGGTGCCCAGTAAGGGGTTCTGCCCCAAAGGTGGGTACTAGTTTTCTTTTTCCTTTTCTAAGTGAGAAATGTTGTGCTGCTGAAATATCCTTTTCCTCTGTGTCAGAACAACATCCCAAAGCCATTATTCCCTTTCCAAAGGAGCGGAATTCGCGAAAGGTGTAAAATACAGGAAGGGGCCCGTCAGCGGCGCTGGCAGCTTAGGCCTTTCTCACCGCCGTGCTCCCCGCGTTCCCACGCCAAAAATAACCCGCAGGAAACGCAATTGTGCTCGGAGCCCAGGCAGCGGGCGGAATCTGAGCGTCCAGCGCGGGGCGCAGCTCCGGGCCAAGCTGTGCGTCCTGCCTCCACCCCCAACCCCGCACTTCCCCCGCCTAGAAGAGGTTAACTCTTTCGGCGCTGCACCGTGTCGCCCCCCTGTGGCGGCGGGGCGGGCTACTCACCTGGCCGCAGGTCGTCTCCTGGAGCGTGCCAAGCTTCGATGATAAGTGAGAAGGTACCCTGGGAAGCGAAAAGAGGTGGGGGGACAGAGAGATAGCAAGATGAGCAAGGCGGGAGAGGTAGGTGCCTTGTGGCGACCGGTTTAATTATCTAATTGCAGGATACAGTTACTGCGCCCCGGGTCAACATAACGGGTCTGCGCACCGTGCAGCGCTCACGCCGTTAAGGCAAGAGGAGAACCTTGGATAAGGAGAGGGATGGGGACTGTGGGGTGTAAAGCGGAGCCACGGCTGTGGGCTGGGGGGTGTCGCCCCAGGGTGCCGTGCAATGAAAATCGTGTCTCAAGAACAGGGAAAGGAGAACATAAAATCGGGAAGACGAGGCTGATGAGAGCCTTCTCCAGGATATCTCCGGAGAGAATTGGAAAGAAAGGGCCCAGAGAGAATGCGCCCCGAGTTTTTTTTTTCCTTGGGGGAGGGGTGAAGACATCTAAGGAGGGGGCTTTGGTCCCCAGGCACCCCTTCCTCGTGACTGCCGTGACCTCAATGCTCCCGGGCTGTGCTCACCGGCCAGGTGAAATTAAAGGGCAGTTGGAGAGGGTTTCTGCCACCGCCGCTACTGTCGTCCCGAACGGCGAAAGAGTTGGTGCCCAAAACCGGTGTGGAGACGCTGCCGAAGGTGCAGGGGCCGGGCGAGAGGACCGCCTGGAAGTGCTTAAGGCAGACGCGGAAGAAAGTCCGGCAGCCGGGCTCGCACGGCCGCCCACTGGCCAGGACGCCGCGCTCGTTGGCGAACTCCTGCAGCTGCAGCTGGAAGACGCCGGAGCCGGCCGCGCGCTATTGCACAGGGACCGAGGGAAGGAGGGAGGGGAGCGGTCAGCTCGGCGGACGCCCGGGACTCAGGCCCGGAGCGCGGCGAGAAGGGGCGGAGAGGGCGCGGGACGTTACCTGCTGCCAAAGTGCCACCAGCAGCAGTAGCGCCCAGCTAGAGGCGCTCCGGGACTCAGCCGCCATCCCCAGGGGCGTCGCTCTCGCCACTGGCGGGCCTTGAATGTGGCTCTGTTCAGGACGCCGCTTTCCCGCGCGTCCGCCCACCCGCGGAGTCTCTGAACCGCCGGGCTCCTCTCGGGACGTTCGCCTTGTCGCTAGCTCCGCTGCAGCTACCGCAGTAGGTAATCCAGGTGAGGGAGGCTGGGCGGCGGCCGCGCAGAGGACGTGTGCTCGGGCCAATCCTGGAGCAGCCAGCCGGCTAGTGCCCGGGTACACCGCACCGAGGCGGCTAGGCTGCGGCTCTCGGCCTCGTGTTCCCGGCCTGCGCTCAGAGCCGCTACTGAAACCTGCGCGCTCGGGAGCCTTCCTTATATATATTGGCTCCTCTTCGCAGCCTGTCACTCAGACTATGGTCACTCTCCCCTCCCCTCCGGGCTTCTAGCTGCTACAGTCCCAGCGCCGTCCGGAGGGGGCCTCCGCCCCCGCCGGCCCCCCCTACCCCAGCCGGCCCGGCGCAGATCCCCGCCCCTACGTGTCGCTCCCCACCCCTGGGCCCCCCAGCTCTGCTTTTACGGAGGTGACCAGATCTCTGTGATCGATGGGTGAAGAGCTGAGACCCTGGTCGCTGAAGGACAGGGGGGTTGGCCGAGGGATGGGGCGGAAGGTGAACGGGTGGTTCCCGGATGGTCCCGGGGGCGGAGACACTAGGGAGTCCCCGTAGGCGGTGCGTCTGCCGCCGGCGCTAGTTACCTGCAGGCCGCCAGCAGGTAAAAAGAACTTAGGTCAAGAAAGCGAAAACCAAAGCTTGGGGACTCTGATCTCTTTCTTCCCGGAGCGTTGGAAGCCGTTGCCGGGTCAGCCCCCGACCTATGAACACCCACCCACCTGCGCCGCAGGGAAGCCAGCCGACGCGGCAACCTTTCGGTGGCCGCTGCGAACAAGGTGAGGGGCCAAGCATCTAGAACTCGGAGCGCCCTCCCTCCGCTGGTGGGCGTCTCCCTCCGGAGCAGCGGGGGCGTGCCCAGCGCGTGCCATCTCCCTCCTTCCACCCCCTGCCTGGGCTTGGCGCGTGCCAGCGCCCAGACGCGTGGTCCCCGAGGTAAGGGCGGGCGGGGCGTGTCCCGGAGGGAGGAGGGGGCGCGTCCTCAGCTGTATGGTAATGAGGCCTGGCTCCGCCTCCAGCGCCGCCCTTCACCTGCGTCCACTTCAGCTCCAGCGCCCACTGTCGTCCCCCAGCCCGCAGCCCAAAACCCCCGCCCGCCTCCTGTCGCCTCGCTGGGGCAGGGAGGACCCCTCCTGGCTCCAGAGTTTGCTCTGGCCACTGGAGAGTCGAGGTGAGGGGCTGAGGCCAGGCAGGCCCAGTTCCTCTCGTCATAGGGAGGATGTGGGATGAAACTGGAGGCGCGCGGAGTTGCTTGAGCTTCGGGAGGCTTTACCGTCTCGCCCGCGCCGCTCCCCGGGGTGGCCCCGCTGCGAGGGCAGCCGCGCAGCTGCTTTCCCGGAACCAGGCGTGATCCCCGGAGGCCGCAGACTGGGGAGGGCCGGCTTCTACCAGTCTCGGGGGGGCCGGGCAGCTAGCTTTCTGCGACGCTGAGGGCGG